ATGTATGTCAATTAGGAAAGGACAAATGTCGATAAATTACATACAGGCATACAAAATATAGATATGTTATTTAAAAGTATGACCCGATCAATAGGAAAAAGATGAGTTTCCTTATATTAGTAGCAGCGGACATTTAAAACGACTTTCTACACAAAATATCGCTTTTAAACACCGAAACATATTTCTAAACGGCGTAAACATTTAATAAACAGTTTATTTCCGGCCTATCGTTTTACGCTATGGGAGAGATAAAACGAATGTAGGTCAAGTTTTGATATTATTGACAAGTCGTGTTATGATTTACGAGTCTTGGCACTAGTATCAACGACTTTTGTGTACAACTAAATGAATAGAATACAGCCAACTACATACATATTATTAGGTTCTTCAAGCGAAAGAAGTAGCCTGGATTTTATTCTAACTATACTATGTTTATCTATTCCATACTATGTATACAGACTTTCTTTAACGAATGGAGTTTCTTGCTCGTTCTTCTCCACTCGAATCGACATTTTGGAACGAGCGCCTAGCTTCACTGACGGACAGACTGAGGGACTATTATATATTTCATTTTTGTTGACGTTTCGAAAGTACCAAATTATGGTTTAACTCGTCGAGTACCGTCATTATAGACACAATTATAGAACAATAGGTTGCGGTCACCGGTGACCGCTTGGTGTTTGACAGTTTAATTGAAATAAATGCTTTTGAGTTTGAGTTTGAGTTTTGTAGTTATTATTATAGTATCACTAGTAGCTGCTGTGTCCGCGTTCCCGTGCAATGAAAAGTGGCCTATGTGTATTCCAGACCATAATCCACCCCATTTCCAAATTTCATCTCGATCCCTTCAGCCGTTTTGACGTGAAGAAGTTACAACCAAACATAGTCGCAATTATAATGTTATAGTAGGATTTCACTAGGTATCATTTTCACAGGCTTGATTCTCTAGAGATTAAATAGCATAGTCCCCTAATTAGGTCTATAGCCAATGTTTTCCAGGTATTAACCTCCCATTACTAAAAATACCAATTCACGGCAGCGTTATTTTAGTTTTAATTAAATTAGAATGGAAATAGACATAGTCATTGCTCTAATTTATTTAATACATTTTGTGACTAATTCTTGTGGGTTTTAAAAATACTAGTTCAAGTATTATGCCGTCTGTGTTTGAATTTATTTAATTTAGTTATAAATAAACTATATGGACTTAGTTAGTTTGTTCTAGCGTAAGTCATTTGATATCGAGACTATTTTTAGCAAGACCGCAATAAGGGATTCTATTCCAAGATAACACTTTGTAGTCTATACAATATACATATTAAACTAGATGTACTAACACACGAAATATATTATAACTTTATAGGTGTTTTGCGAAATAGATAAAATCTGTCTTCAAAATCATTTTAAAGTTACATCAGTTAAATTAAGATATAGATATAGTACAGACATTTAATATCAAAAAAGGTCATGGTTACTTTAAAAAATAAGATAAGAAGATATTTTTTGAGTTCATAGGCTATTTGATTCTGGTGACATTTGGGTTCAGCCAGAGTTCTTGGTTGACTGGAAACTGTGAAGACGTTTCTATGGTCAAACTAAATCAACTACAATCGGTTTTTGAAATTAGTCATTGAAACACAAATCTTCAACCCTGGAAAAACACGCAAAGCTGATTCACCAGACAGAAATCGGACCACGGGCCCAATATTGTCGTATCATCGCTAAGGGTGTATTAAAGGGGACGGCAGACACTCCACATTTGACAATGACTAAGCCGATTCTGGCCATTTATGACTACCCCAGCACGAACAGATTTCGTCTATACTTACTGTGGATCGTTCTTATTCGGTCTTCTGTAACACGGTGGGACTCTCTCCTCGTACTTGTTCTTCGCTGCATTATTACCAACCTCCTTCATTCTTTGAACCTGAGAATCCTCCCAGCGGTCAAGCTTGAGGTGTTTTACTTTGCTTATGTGGGCGCCCATGCCACGGTGGATGCTGGCACAACGCATGCATATGAATATACCGAGGTTGTAGGACGCCCAATCTGGGTCTGAAAAAAAAAGGAACATTTGAAAATGGAACCGCGAAAATCCCGCCAAATGCATGTCAACGATGTTTACAACCTTAGAACGTCTTGTGGGTTTGCTAATAACAAGATAATGATAAATCGATAAGATTACGGTCAGTTATTACGTAATTTACACTTCTTAGTACATTTATACTCACCTCGACTTATGATCTTTAATGTTTGGGTTTCCTATACGAATTTATATTCCTAATTATAGTCGGGTCAACCCCGTTAGGATAACAGTCATAAACGTCAAACAAATTTTAACTGCTTGACGCATCATGACTCACTGCAATATTACTCCTAGTCATTAAATAATCTTTTAACAGTTAACGTTTCCCCATTTCGATGGCATACTCCAAATGCCACAATGTGACGCTATGATTGTCCTCAAAAAGGTTTATCAAATGTACAGTCTAGACAAAAGCCCATTTAGTCCATAAAATCCCGTCTACTTTTTTACTTCTAAGCTGGACTGTGATATCACAAAACCAACACATCATGTGGATACCACATCATCAAATAAAAATCTATACATATACCTGAAAAATCGTAAGAAAGTGAAAACTGTATATTGATTTATTTTTTTTAAAGAATTTTTGAGACGTAATCTTCAATCGATATCGAAGCCAAAAACATGGTTTATAGAATTTTTATCTGTTTGTCTGTATGTATGTCCGATCTAAACTGGCATGGATTTCCTTCAAAATTTGCATGAACAGTCGGGTCAACATATAGGCTACATATTATGATGCTATCACCTACGAGGGAGGAGCTGTGAATCACTATTCCACGCGGACGAAGCCGCAGGCACAGCTAGTAATCTATAAACCAAACTATTTATAAAGGAGGAAAATATTTAAATACATTTCGAAATAAATGCATGGAAACAGCTAAAACTGTTTCACATTGTTTGTCTGTTTGTAAACGTCACACTTTGAAACTACTGTATGGTTGCGGGTGAATGACTTTCTCTGTTACAGTTCTTATAGGTAAACAAACAAGGTACCCATTTGTTTTAGTATTTGACTACCTACATAATATGTATATTAACTGTACTGGAATAAGGTACATATGTTTTCTAATAAAAATATAAACCCTTTCTTTTGCAAAGGTATTGTTTCACTATGCTAGAAAACAAGACTTCTTTTCTTTGATTGATAGTCCTTCACTATCATTTCTAGAAGCAGTGAATTTTTTATGTTATTTTGTTTGACTGCATTTAATAATCTGACTGTTTTCATTTGTATGGGTTTATCCTAGCAAAAGTTCGTTTGAAGATGTTTACGCCTAAAAATTACTCTTATTGACCTACTATGGTTAAAAATTATCAAGCGAAGTATCTCATGATGAACGTTGGATATTTTTTTTTCTTTTGATGATGATATCAGCACAGTAAGTCAGTACCTGGTTAGTTAACTGATAATGAATATCCAATGCAGCAAAAATCCACCGTCGTGGTTTAAAAAAAAAGACGTTGTAGTCCAATAGGGGATGGAGATAGATTGAATGATGAGTTTACGTTGACTATGTCGTTATTACGATTAAGTTATAATTTTATTTAGATATTTATTATTATTATGATTATTTCAATATTATGTTTAACGATTATTTAAAGGACATGGCTTTAAAAGAGCAGTTGATCATTCTTATGATCCCCTGTTTGTTATTATGTTACTTTCAGACTATTCGTATTCATGACTGATGGATGCCTTATGAATCGTCATCAACAGTATCTAGTTAACAACTGGTTTTTTGAGTAACTACTTAGAAATAAAATCAAAAGTTAAATTGACGAAAGAAACAGCTACGTGTACTAAGTAAAAAAAATAATAATCGTGTTTACACTATTTTGATGAAAAATCCGATATAGGTGAGTACCTTCCTAAATTAGTAGAAAAAACTGTACCTACTTATCATAACTATGTGCGTAAGTGTCGAATTGCCGATAGTTACCTACGATAAGAAATTCAGCAAATCGTCACACCATAGATTAAATAAAATAATACCCTGACTGAATGACGTCTGCGTTGTGCAAAACATGGTTATTAAATTAACTAGTGACGTGAAAAATCGAGAAATTACTCAATATACGTAACTACGTATTACTCGATAGGTGTATAGGCGTGCGTATTTACCTAGGTATGCAAATATGTAACAGGTATTTGTTTCTTATTGTGCAGTACAACAAAAAGGTGGGTAGCTAGGTACGTAGTTCTCACTAACTATTAGTCATTTACCACCACACGACATTTGGCAATATGCGTCTATTCACCTATGAATGAAATGATTACGTGTCGTGCACCTCTCTCTGCGAAGTCCCCACCACTAAAAACGTACTTCGCGATGGTCCAACTCAAAATAGAACTTGAACCCCGCAAAGTTGATGAGCTGTCTGCGCTATAAAATATACTTTCAAATAGATTTCATTTGAAAATCATTTTGGTGGAAATAGGCGTTTCCACATTTTCGTTTCTCATCATATCCGTGTTTATAAGCATACACAACACACCGACACGACGTCACACGGCCGCACGCACACTCTCACATTTGGCCTCTGCGCCACACGTAAATAACATAACGCTATGTCACAAGACTTGGGATACCTGTTAGAAGCCAATCACCATTGTTTCAATACTTGGACACGTCTAATTAACTGGCAGCCTTTCCTATTTCATAATGCCAAGAAACCTGGAACTTTTATCTGTGTAAATACGCAGTTACAGTAAGTAGGTCCTTCCTATACCTGAGAAAAGCGTGAAGAACGCATGCTACCTATCAGTTTACAGCTGTGGACGCTCATTAATCAATCAAGGTTATCTTTATATTACTTGAGCAATTTATTTATAATTATGTTTTACTAAGCGCATCAGTGCCCAATTTGTTATTATCTTTATTGTACCAAACTAATGATGAAACCTACTTCAAGAGCTTTGACACCTCGTAAATACGCATTATCAACTCCTAATTAGCAAATAACAAGCTAGTTTATTCAAAGTAGGGCCCATAATTAAATTAGGTACGGCCCGAATGAAATTCGTTCATTTTAATTCTGTTTGTTTTTGTTTCATTTCGTTCGGCTCATAATTAGTCAATGGTCAAAATTTAATATTCCCCTCGGCTTCTTGTAATTTGAATTCTGTAAAAACAGGTCTTAATTAAGCATTTATTATGGAGCCCCTTCTTCCCGCCTAAGTACCTTCTGTATCCGTAAAAACAGGCTTCAAATTGGTTGTAATGTAAATAACTTTATACCTATAACTACCATTTTTAAACAGACGATAGTCAAATTGATGTGAATTATTAGTATAATAAACAACATCGTACAGCACACGCAATCAACTATTCCCAATAATTGTATAGATACATATTTTAACGAAACGAGATTGCCTAATTGTTAAGTAACACAATGATTATTTCTATGAAAATACACCTAGCACATAAATTATGGGACTTAGGTACTTGGCGTGATGCGTGAGTCATAATTTACTAAAATAACAGCTAGGTTGAAACCATATGGGATTGTTGGATATGAACAAATAGGTAATACAGTTTGGAAAACAATATTTTCCTCCAATAGTTATAAAATGTCGTAACCATGAAGGAAATATTGTGTCAACAACTTTATGTTGGTAATTAACGATGACACAATAGTCATTTTAGTATCAGCTAATCATTGTTTAGATTACTTTTGTGGGGAGCAAGAGACTATAGCAATCACAATAAGTACCCGTTGGTGTTAGGGTTCTTAAGGACTCCTTACTTTTTTAAGGTTTTTAGTGTGTAAGAGTCTGACACTTCCTTCCGCTTCACCCAGAATACATTCGATGATTTTGTCCCCTTAAAAAAGGTAAAATAGGACTCCTTTTACGTATTTTTTTTTATTATATACGAATTATTAAAACTTGCTGTCATTAACCCACGTCTCTCGCAAATATCTAGCTAGATAGGGTAGGTTTGCATTTAATAGTTTTCATGGAATGGTGGCTTCAGTATTTGTATTAGATTTTTATTGACTAGGTATAAGCACCAGCTCTAATAAATGCTTACCTTCATGTGTAATACAACTATTAAAAGTATCGAAAATAAATGACTTCAGTCACTTAGGCCAGGTTCTCTAGCTAGGTATGTCGAAAAGATTAAACTAGGCACCGGAGACCTACTGGCTGTTCACTTTTATGTAACTTATATTAATCATATGAAACATCTGTGACCCATTTGCAAAAGTAGTTTATTTATACGGATAAGATAACTTCCGAAGTTCCTACGGTATTTACTAGGTACCTAAATCCCGATTATCCATAGTTATTTAAGCATTGCCAAAACCATACGATCTCGGAGCAATTTGCAAGTCTGAATAGAGGAGGTTGAACATACGCCGCGCAGTATAGACAGACATTGAAATGTAAAATTAGGTCACACTCACACAAACGCGGACGCTCACATCCTAATTTCTTAGGATAAATTTATAGGTAGTACAATACTGATAAACAACTAGGTACATAAAGGGAAATCGTTGCGATAATACAGTACAAAAATCAAGGAAAAGTTGTGCAAAAGTCGGAGAAATTGCATTGCATGTCAAGGATACAGATACAGACCTACCTAGGGCAGAACCTATGACTCATACTACACAGCCAGTCCTGCCTAAGTACCTATTTATTATAAAACATTCGTCCACATTCTACGAAGATACTGATATCTTTTTATTTTAAACAAGGGAATGTGCATGCAGATAACATATTCTCAATTAATGTTGATTACTTTTACTCTTGCCAATTTGTGCAGAAATACACATTCTGCGATTGCAACATTATGCACAGTCTATAGCAAAAATTGGTTTGTTTTTATTTCTAATCAATAAAATAAGCACAGTAAAGCATTTTGCAAAACAGAATAACGCATTATTGGCTGCCATTGGTGGTCACATGAAATTAATTTTCAATTAGCATTGAAACATTTCATACGTGTGTGATAGCCATAATCTCACAAACATCACTGATTGTATCCTTACTACTGACTTATCTGCATGTTTTGAATCATCATAAAATGCGCTGGTCGATGATTTGTTTTCATTGAATGCATTTTACGTCGAGGTCACTGAACTCCAAAGCATGGACGCATTTACGCCCCCCGCCTATTCACCACCCCATGAAAATACCACGCACACGGAAAACACTATCACTAAAATTGTTATGAATCACTAATAACAACATACCCAGATTTCCACAATCGGCACAAACATTATTTCCACTTTTCTTTTGCAACTCCTGTAACAATTTCTGGTTATGATCTACCATCGTGGAACTTTTGCATCAATAATGAAGACATACACGCTAGCGTACGTCGCCGCTCGAAAGTCGAACGCCTCGAACGAACGCGTTCTCTGCCACTGCGCGAGGGAGCGAGCGAGACTTCGACCGACGCGCGGCGAATCGGTTCAACAAACGCCATTTCGTAGGTGAGGAATGCCATTGCATTCACACACATTTACGTTCGCTTAGCATGAATGAGATAGAAAGAGATGTCTAGTTTCGGTATATGAATGAAACCAGTGTGTAGTGGATGGTAGTGGATACTCGTAAAATCCATTTGTGTGTGTGTATAGCGTAGTAGGTACGTGATGCGATCATGCGACGCGAATACAAGCAAGCGCCCGTCTCGCGTAAATACGTGTAAATACTGGGTAGGCATCTAGGTAATACGAGTCTGTCTATAAATTACTCTTCGCATAACTAAATACGAAGGTACGATACGCTAGGTACTCGTAGCGTAGCTGTAGTCTGTGTCATTATGCTGCTCGGTCATTGCTTCGAGAAACAGCCCGATAACATTCGAACTTTAATTAAATTCTTTTACAATTTTGCACTTACAATCGGTACGTAGAACCATTCATAGATGATAATGTGAATGGTTGGATAGGTATGCCGCTTAATTTCCGGTTAGGTCACGTTAGTTCTTTTGAAAAGTTTTTAAAAATAGAAATTAACTAGTTTCAGTATGTTATATTTAAAAGTTTGTGCTATTGTTAAAATTATTATTTGTCGACTGTGTAAGACATAAATAGATAAATTATTAGATACTATATACAACCTAATTAGTAAAATAGGTATTAAAAAATATAGATTGTCAGGTCATTTTTAAACAGCAAATCATCTAATTTTATCTAGTCAAATTGGTTGGTAACTTAATTAATTTGTAACGATGTAGATATAATTAGTCACAATTAAATAATATTACATATAATACCTCATATAATATGTGTACCTACGTAATAAATACTTCATAATAATAATAAACACCGACAACGATACACCTTGTAATATATCAACATTTATCATAATATCGTCTTTGGAAATACTTAATAACTTGAAGATACTTGAAATTGTGTATCTTTGTGTTAGTTTATTTTATTAATATCTATTATGACTACCTAATAAATAATGTTTTTATTTATCTACTTCCACTTACGGAAGGCAAAAGGGCAAGAGTTCATATTGATAAAATTGTAAATACCCAATCCACGAAGTAAATTTAAAAGTTCATTATGTCAATTTTTTTCTCTTTTGGGGATGCCATTAATTTGTGGTTTCCCCAAAATGTGGATGCATTTTAAACCTTGCACGCGTAATAATTACAATTTATAAAAATATAAAAATTAGAAAACATAAATATATAAGTTTTATCTATTACTTATTTTGATTGCGCTTATTGTTTTGCATTTAACACACGGTATTGGAAAATTTGAAATGAAATACTTACATTGTTCAATAATTAATTTTATATTAAACCTTTTATTTACAAATAATAAACGTAAATAAGTTAATTATGAATAAATATATACAACCTAAAATATAACTAAAAACTTAAATATTTACACCTTAAAAAAAATGTTACTTTTTTTTGATGTCTTAAATTATCATCGCTATCGTGAGGTAGGATGCCCAAAAGACTGACAGCATTGCCATATTGAATGGCAATGCTTAATGTTCGCCCAAGGTAGTAGTCGGAGCCAGCCCTTCGATCACTTGAAGTGCAACCATCCTCCTAACAATATCTTTGTAGAGAAGATGTGCACTTGGGCCCCACGGCCCTAAAGTTTCAACCCCAAACGGTTCGAAAGTATAATTGCCAATCAGGCTATGATATTTTCGACGTTTGAGGTTCTCGACAGCAGCAGTGGCAGCACCGGCTCGACACGCTGAGTTGGCAAGATGAGATGAGGCGCCAGAGTATCAACGTAAGTGGCGTCCCATACTAAAGGCCTATCCATCCTCCAAGGGTATAATGACATACCGTCGGGTCTCTTGCTATCGCGTACCATTAGGTTCTAAAGTAGCTGGCATGCCAACGGAGATTAGCGCGCGACGAATTATGTCATTAGTATTTACGTGTCGAGCAAAACGGCTACACGACAAGTCGTGGTTTCCAAGGCTGTAGACATCTTCACCACAACGACAACGATGAAGTGAACAAAATGGAGCTCTAATTCTTCAATTCTTATTTTTTATGTGGTTCTAATTTCATATTGATTAAACATCCACATGTAATTTTACGATTGTTTATCATTTAAAAAAAAATTACGTTACAAATACACTGATTATTGTGGATAATGGGAACTGATTTTTAATTTCTGGGAGATAATTAACTTTCCAAATTCTGATAACCCAGGTGTTTGTTATGTCAAAAATATCGACAAAGCGTTTGACTCGTTCTCGCTTGCGTTGTATTTTTAAACAATTTCATTTATTCAATAATAATTTTATGTAAAGGGATATTTATTTAGTTTATAGGTAAATTATAACTGCCAAGATGGGGCGCCGATCAATAAATACCACTAAAAGTGGTAAATACATGAATCCCACGGATCAAGCAAGTGAGTATTGGTTATATTTTCATATATTTTAATAAATACAAATTTATTTGGTTTAGGTACCTATTGGTTGAAATTAATCTAAAGTATAAAGTCTACAATGCAAACAGACAATACAGATTCAATCAATTAGTACAACAAATATCAATCAATCAATCGGTTTACATAAATTGTATTGTTGTACAGAAAATTCTTCTACATTAGGTTTTATTCTAAAAGCTGCATATTCAATATTGAACCCAGTGAATATGAACAAATATGATAATAATCAGATATCAGTCCTAAAGCATAGTATAAATAATTTATGAATCATAATCGGAACAATTTATTGTAAGAACTCATTTTTATAACATTTAACATTTAGAATGATATTGCTGATTATTACCATATTAAAAATACGTTTTTTTACCAGTTTTATTAATGAAAATAAAATAAATGGCTCTAATATGTTTCTATTTCTTTCATAATTAGGAAAAGAAGCAAGGAAAAAAGAATTAAAAAAGAACAAACGGCAGAGACAGATGGTGAGAGCCGCTGTACTTAAGATGAAAGATCCGACACAAATCTTAGAGGAGTTGCAGAAAATTGATGAAATGGGTAAGTTATCTTTTAACTCGTCGAGTACCGTCATTATAGACACAATTATAGAACAATAGGTTACCGGTGACCGCTTGGTGTTTGACAGTTTAAACAAAACAATACTGAATGTAGGCCTTCACAGCACTTACTTAAAACTAGTTAACACCTGAATATAATAAGTAACACAAGAGTATAGTTCTGTCTCAACGAATTGTTTGTAAAATGACAGAGATGGCACAGTATTTAAGTACAATTTAAAATTGAGTAACCTTTCAGTATTCACGCATAAGTTACCTAACTTCATCAAACAGTTATGTAAGTAAGCCACTAAACATAATTCACCATAATACACAGTTCCTTAACCCGTCGAGTACCGGTTTTGTAGACACAATTATAGAACAATAGGTTGCGGTCACCGGTGACCGCTTGGTGTTTGACAGTTTAATTAAGGTTCAATCAATTACCTATTTAGTTTTGAATGGATGTTGGTAGCTCTAGTGATCTTAAGAACCACTATTGTGTGTGATATCACGGGTTCAATACCCTAGTTGTTTTTGTTTTTTGTTTTTGAGGGGAAAAATCATCTAATTACTTCTCCCGCCTTGGGTGAGTCGAGATAGTTGGACATTCTCTTTCCGATATCAAGTGTTTTTGTTCATGTAATTAGTATCGCGCTTGACTTGGTGGGGGCACTACTGTGCATTCAGATTACACCTTGGATATTTCAAAGTAATTGTTTATTATGAGGAATTGGTAGCTCCCATATTTAAAGAAAGCAGAAGCAGAAGAAAATATAAATCAAAAAGTTTTTAATTAATTCATGAAATATTATTTTAAATTTTTTGTTTTTTATTTTGATAAAAACACAATGCTATACTTTCTTTAGGCATATAAATTATTTGTTAGTATACTTTCAACTTTAAATTAAGAAATTATAGCATATTGAATATTAATTATTATGTTTTCGGCTTACTCACGTAACTGTTTGACGAGGAACTCGACTAGTTTCAAGCCATGCTAGAGGCTCTTATTCATCGACGCGGCCACTGTCGTGCAGCCATTATATAACTATTTAGTATATCTTACGAAATATTAAATAGTTATGATTAGCCGAGATTGTAAAATTGACAATATTAGTAGAGGTGTTCGACAGTATCTTAACTCAAAATTATTTATTGATATATGTAATGCTCACTTTATTACATTGTTGATAAAATTATTAATAAATAAAAAGTTTTGTTTATTTTAGAATACAATGTGTTGCAACCATCGCCTCTGAACGAAAAAGTGTTAAAAGAGAAAAGAAAGAAATTAAGAGAAACCTTTGATAGAGTTCTCAAGATGTATGTAAGTATACTATTATTTTAAATGGTAGCTGATTATATCTATCAATAATACTTATAGACTTCATTATATTATAATGTCTTATTCCGTTCCAGTCATAATGTATCGGGATACTTTATTCTCCCGACTTTCCCATCCATGATGGTTTAAGCTGCATACCATTCCGATTGTGCATAGCTAAATAATTATTTAATTGAACTAGCAAACGTAATGGTCCTTATAACTTTGTATAATTTATTAATGATTAATTTCACATAACATTTTCATAAAAATGAGGTTTTTTGATATCATGTTCCCGAAGGAGTTTTTTTAAATAAACGTGGCCCCACACGCACCCACGATTCAGGACAAAATCCTAATTTTGTCCTGAATCGTGGGTGCGTTTACAAACATACAAGTTCACATACACATGACACCCAGACTCGGAACAACAATCTGTGGATCACACGAAGACTTGTGCCGTGCGGTAATCGAACCCGCGACAACCGTGCAGTTGATTTTATCTCTTATAACTCATGTTTGCTACCATTGAAATCGTAAACATTCATTTATATTTATGTAAATGTAGTGTATTATAAATAGCTCTGTTTTTAAAAAACTACGCGAACAGGTCTGTTGCATAATATTTCACAACATGGCGAAAATGTGACTTGTAATTAATATTTATAGTAAAGTGTACTCTAATAACATTTTATCAAAGTATTTTAGCAACTATGCAATTTATTATCATTATTATTGTTTTATATTTTGGTTTTAATGATAATTTTGAGTTTAAAAGGTACTTATTCATGAACATCTTTTTTTGTTCTTCATTATCTTCTGTTTTTGTTCTACACTATAATTTCTATGTTACATTTCAGGACAAAGATGACCCGGAAAAATGGGTAGACCTCAAGCGTCAGGAAATGGAATATGAGAAAAGGAAAGCACATTTAATATCCTATTATGAATCCGTGAAGCATGCACAGTCAGTTCAAGTAGATGATATACCATTGCCAACTTTACAAGTGAGTATAAAAAAACAAAATGATAATTTGGAGCCAAAATACTGTGTCAAACCAGTTAATTGCGGTTCTTTATTTAATCTAGTGTATACAGTCTGGTGAATCTAAATTAAGAAATTAAATAATTATGAAGCAATAAATATTTGAGGTAGTAAATTCAACTGGCTTAAAATTAGATATGACACAAGTAGTGTCCAAATATTGAGAGAATGCAAACGACTTTAAATAATATCACGCTGTATACACAAGCAAATATCGTTGTTAAAAATTCAATTCTCAACATGCAATGTTAGGATACATTCACACTGAATACTTTTAAACTTTTATTTTTTAGTTGCAGCTCGTAATCGTTCGCAAAGACCTTTCTAGCAACATAAAATCATGAATAAAAAGAAATTCTCAGTTATAGCACGGAGTCTAGAATTGTGCCCGGTATATGGCAATACGCTCATACCTAGTACATGGGACTTATAATATAAATAGTGAAAAGTAGGTGTTACGTTGTACAGTGGCATTATGTGCCGTAATGTGTATCTCTGCCTACCCTTTCGGGGATAAAAAGCGTGATTTTATGTTATATTATGAATTCATAACTTCGAACATTAATACGCCCTATGTGAATACGCCCTAATATTCTACCATAGTTTAAATAACAAACATAAGTTATACAGTATGTGCTTTTGACATTGTCACTACATAAAATATGTTTAGTCATTGGAAGATTCAAGTTCAATAATCACCTTTATCAACAGATAATAATGGTTTTGATAAATCCTCGCTTTTATAGTAAAACACCGTGAACATGCATTTATTTGTATATAAGATAGTGGGGCGAGAATTGCGTTCTATGGATTGCTATTAAGATTGAATAGATGATTTAAAATTTTTTTCCTTATCATGTATCTCTGTATAGCGAATTTGTGCTGATAACTGTGTAGTTCGTCTTTTGATAGACAATGTTCCTAATACATATTTTTTTATAATCTTCAATGTTCTCAGCTGATGACTTGATCTTCGATACGTACGATAACCGTACAGGACTGATTTCTCATAAAAGTAACTTCTTTTTTATTTTAAGATTCACGTTTGATGGGTGTTACATTGTACAGTGGTATAATGTGCACCTCTGCCTACCCCTTCGGGAATAAAAGGCGTGATGTTATGTTATATTATGTTATGATTCACTTTTGTACTGACTTTGTGCAAACAGTAACAATAGAAGGTGAGGAGTTAGTTTCCATGATTATTCGTGATTTATCACTTAACTAGTTACTTCCGCGCGGCTTAACCCGCTCTGCTCGGTGCCTATTGATTGTAGCGTTATGTTTTACAGCCTATAAACTTTCTCGATAAATGGACTATCTAACACAAAAAGAATTTTTCAAATCGGACTATTAGTTACTTAGATTAGAGCGTTCAAACAAACAAACAAACAAACAAACAAACAGACTTCAGCTTTATACTTATAAGATACTAGCTTCTGCCCGCGACTTCATACGCGCAATCCCGTTTTCTCCCGTTCCCGCAGGATTTTCAGGATTTTTTTCTGTCATAAGAACCTTCTCCTGACAATAAGAAACACTACAAAAAAAAAAACAGCCAAAACTGTCTAACCGTTCTCAAGTTATGGCGTGCCAACGGGAAACGGGTTTCATTTTTATGTATATAGGTAAATCTAATACCATTACATTCAGGTTTTTTTTTAAAAGTATGTTTATTTTCCAGGTTCCAGACAACTTAATATTTAGCAATGTACCTTCACAAATACCGTTACCAGTGGATGCGGTGTTGCCAGTCGCTGTTAAACCTATACTGAAAAAAGATTCAGCGTACAAAGTAAGTTCATAGCTTAAATATAAACGATTTGTTTTAGTTAAGTGAAGTATCTAATAGTTATGTAAAATCAATCAATGATCAGCATACAGTAAGAGTAGGAACGGGGACGATTTTTAGTCAGTAGTCCTACATTACCGGATCTCGCCTCGCCCAGGCGGTCCGAGGCTATAGGATGATTTTTCCCCCCTCAAAAAACACCCCCTCAAAACATCATCATCGTTACCATGTCTAAGATCTTAAATAAGACAACTTCCTAAGTTGATCGTATCCACCTAGCTGGAGGGCGCCATACACTACGTTTGCTAAGACGCGGTCTTCACTCTAGAACACGTTTATCCTAACGCTTCTTCAACCTATCGGTTCTTCGATAAATGCGACCGACCCACTGACATTTCAGCCTGCTAATCTTTGGGCTACGTCGGTAACTTTAGTTCTCTGTCGGATCACCTCGTTACTCACTGTGTCACTACAAAAAATAAAATCCATTAACAGGACACCACATAATATTATGTTTCAACAGTAAACGAAAATGTTCTAGGAGAAGCCACTCGGTCTAGAACCGCCCGGCGTGCCACCAGGTCCGCCATGTGACTTCGAGATCCTAGTGCTGGAGAAAGAGAAGATGTATAAGAAAGACAAAGCTGCCGCCGCCCCTCCACCCGTTGTTACCAATAACAAAGTGCTCAGGTTCTCCGATATGCCTGATGAAGGACCTCCAGGTGAATGTGTAAGTACAAAATTGTATTTCTAATGTAAATATCATTTTTAGGTATTTGTAAAAGAAAAATAAATAAAGTTCCTATTCAAATGGTCTACCTCTACCTCGTTGGCCGAGTGGTCGCAAGTGCGACTACCGGACAAGGTTCTAGGGTTCGATTCTCGGGTCGGACAAAGTATTATTGGGTTTTAAAAAAACTCAGTACATACTCAGCACGTAGTCTGGAATTGTGCCGGTATATGGCAATTGGCTCACCCCCTATTACATGGGACTCATAACATAAATAGTGAAAAGTGGGTGTTACACTGACCAAAGGCCTCTTCTCGCACGGAGAAGATTTGAGCATTAATCACCGCGTTTGCTCAATGCAGGATTAAAATTTCAAACTTATAAATAGAAATTGTAAGCCCAGGTTTCCTCACAACGTATTCCTTTACCGTTTGTCAGTGGTATCTAAATAATGTTAGAAAGTACATAGATATAACTCGGAAAAAGTCACATAAGTAGGTACTTGCCCTCATTCATGAGAAGCAGGCGTCTAAAACCTCCGGGCCACCACGTCTCAAAGCACACCCCAGTGCCTAAAAACTTATAACTAACTTTATAAAATTCCAGGCACCACTACCAAAAGTCCAGGTACTAAAACCACCTATACCAGAGAACATTGACGGTGAGGTAGTGGATGAGGAGCCAGTAACTCCTGCAGCCGCGGCGGCCGCAGCGACGCAGGCGCCCAAACCGACCTCCTTGCAGCAACGCATGCTGGCACTCTCCGGACAAAACATTGACGACTTCATGAAGGAGATGGAAGAGGTCCACAGGAAGAGGGAACGGGATAGAGCTGCTGATCTGAATGCTAGGTGAGTTTTGTAATTTTGGTTACAATAGATAGTGATGCTACAAAAAATATTGTTTTAAAACCTGTCATAGCTATACAAATATGTGCTATCAGTAAGCGGCTTCATCTGGTTCTATTAAAAAAGTGCTGATTTTTAGTGAGTCGTTATTTGCAACAATAAACAATGACTTATTGGATAACGATAACCTTAAGATGATAAGTTAGGTATTCAATTTCACGGATCTCCGCCAGCTTGAGGGACCAAAAATCAACAAAAAATTGACTGACTTCTCTTTAAAAATATATACAAAATACTATCCTCATTTTGCTAGAAACTCACTGCGTCTTTTATCTAATTTCTTTTAAGTTTTATGATACTCTATTATTCTTGGTATAAAATATCTATACTAATATTATAAAGAGGAAAGATTTGTATTTTTGTATTTTTGTATGTTTGTAATGAATAAACTCAAAAACTACTGGACCGATTGCAATAATTTTTTCACCATTAGAAAGCTGCATTATTTAGAAGTAACATAGGCTATATAATATCACGCTAGGTCCTATAGTTGTGGAGCAGTAACCAAAAATGTTTTAAAAACGGGGGAAAAGTATCGTTTCTGAGGCCTTCCGTGGCGTGCGCTGAGCATATAGTTAAAGTTATACAAAAATGCTCTATAGATGAATTGTTCATCTTAACATTATTTTTAAAAAAGTCCGCGAGAGCATATGTCTACCTTTTATAGTTTACCCATAACAATCGTTTTAATGAATGGTTAAATCCTTATAAAAGTTTGCTCTAGATAACTTTTGAATTGTTCAATCGGTTACCTTAAGACTATTAATTCATCCAAAAGATACCTATTAGGTAAGTACTTACCTACTATTTCAAAAATAATAAACTGAGAATAAATATAAATAAAACGTAAAACTATGTAAAAAATCTTAAGTCCTCCGTGCGAAGCCGGGACGGGCCGCTAGTTAATTAATATTCTATAATTTTTATGTCACCAGATTAAGCGCCCTAAAGCGCACAGGCGGTGGTCGCGACAGTGACTCAGACTCGGACACGGAGGGTCCGCCCCCGCAGCACGTGCCGCACCCCGGCCCGCCTGACTTCACGCTCGAACCACCCGGCGCTGAGCTGAGACAGATGCCGCCGCCATTGTTACCGCCGGGTAAAGATCAATACTTGCATTATAAGTATAATTTTATTTCTCTTACGCCAAGGTACTCAAGATGGACAGAGGGTCAGAGGAAATATGTCTACGTACTGTTTCCCTGAAAACATATTATTATAAAGTTTCAGTATAATATTAATTGTATTATTTGTGTCTGTACTATTAGAAAGATAAGAGGATATTATGTTATAAATGGAAATATGTTGCTAAAAACAAACTTATTCTGGACCCGCGCTATTATTGATAATTAATTCAATCAAATAGTCTAATATTACTGTATTTGTCTCGAGAATCTCTCAAGATTACATGCTCTAACCATTAACTAAACTTGTATATTTCCAGGTCTCCGTCCGCCGCCTCTCCGCGCTCCACTAGCGCCCCCAATGCGTCTAGTTCCCCCTGGACCACCGCCCGGCCCTCCTGGACCTCCGCCTGGACCACCAGGTCCACCTGCAGGTAAAATATTGTTACGAACTTGACAAAAATATCATGGTTACTTGGCAATTGCATGTATGATTTTTAATAGAAAAACAAAACTATTATTGAAAACTTACCAACTTTTACATTTAATTCAACTGTAAAAGCAACAGTGATAATAAATAATAACTAATGTGAGATATTAAACAATTTGAATTTGATCTGCCAAGTTCGTTTTGCTGTCTCAGAAGGATAATTTTGATTCTAATCAAAATACAAAAAAACAAAATACACAAAATAATATACTTATATTAAAAAACAACGAGTGGATATTAGTTTTTGGTTAAGAACTCAAGGAAGATACGCTTCTGATGTATGTAGGTCTAGGTTCAATACCTACTTGAATCCTGTAAAGGGTAACGTTACAACCAAGTAGTACAAGTAGAGTAAAGCGTAATATGTCCCTTTCCAGGTGTTCCCGGTTTGCCCCGTGGCATGCTCCGTCCGCCGGGCCCGCCGCCGGGCGCCCCGCCGCGCCTGCTGCGGCCGCTGGTGCCGCCGCCGCCTCCCAAGCCACATCCACAGCTGTCTGTATTGTCTGCCGCTCCACAACTGATCACGAAGAAGGATGCTCAGCAAGGTTGGTGTTATTTCATGTTATTTCTTGAATTGACTGATGAAACTAGCCTTTATTCCTGGTCCATACATACAGCAGTGTACGTCACTACCTGGCAAAGCAAAGGAAGGATTAGCCTTCACTGTAATTAAAAATGTTAAGAAAGAATAAAGTCAATGTCAAAGCATTTATTTCAATTATACCATAATGTGGTACTTTTAAAACGACAATAAATATAAAATAAATAATAGTCTCTCAGTCATAATGAGCACCTAGCTTCACTGTCGGACAGCCAGTGAAGCTAGGTGCTCATTCCGAAATATAGATTCGAATGGAGAAGAACGAGCAACAAACACCGTTCGTTAATCTTTTAAAAAACTATTTGTTATTCAACCTCTAACAATGTATCTACTCACGAAGAAATTAATGTTAAATAAGTATACAGGCTGTGCCAGAACATCTGAAAGTCCATAATTATTTTCCATAACCTAAATTATGGTCTACCTAGGTTCTCTATTACGTCTATTATTATCGAAGTTGCATGCAAATTTAATCAAAACGTAAACAATCTAAATCTAATATCTAAAATAATAATCTAAATCTGAACTTTTACATTTAACCGATTTATTCTTAAGATCATACAATGATGTATAAAATTCAGCCAAAGTGAAGCTCATGTTTGAAACTCGTAACTTTGGTATGGAAAGCAAAATCCCCAAAACATTTTTATTTTATTATGCTTATGGTTAAAAATCGATAATGTCAATAAAATATACGCTCAATATCCTTTAGTGCCTTCAAATTACCACATTCCAAATATTGTTTTCAGGAGCAACAATCAGTGCCAAACCCCAGATAAGGAATTTGTCAGCGGACGTCACAAGATTCGTGCCATCAGCTTTACGAGTCAAAAGAGAAGACAAAAAGGTTAAGCCTGGACTCAAATCTGGAACCATTCAACGGCAAGCGGACATGCCCAAACAACTGCCGAGCAAGGACGATGCTTATATGCAGTTTATGAAAGAAATGGAAGGACTATTGTAGCGTTTTGAAAGACTGTTACAAAGTAGACAATATTTAGAAATTGCGTATTCAATTTAAATGATCTTCATGCCTTGGTGAGTAGCTAAGTTGATGACATAAGTACATCAAGGTACTCTAAACAGTCAATAGTTTTTCAAAGATTAAATACTTACATTACCCGTACAATATCACGTATATTAACACGTTAAACGCCACGGCAGTCACCGGTGACCGACGTTAGCGGAGGATTTGCCTTCAACAGTCTTTTATTGGCAGCCAAAGCCTTAAATTTATCCAAGAAGGTTATGTGGCATGGTGCATCAGTTATTAGTCTCATGTAATAGGTGCAAGCCTTTTGTCATGTGTTAGACACAATTGGGTAGTTGTCAAAGTCAAAGTCAAAGCATTTATTTCAAATAAACCATAATTTGGTACTTTTGAAACGTCAACAAATACAAAATAAATAATAGTCTGTCAGTCAGTCCGTCAGTGTAGCTAGGTGAAGCTATGTCAACTGGTCGAATTCAATATTTTTTTCGAACTGTCGTAAACGACAGTTTTCTATGAATTTTGAACGACATTGTTTATTGTGATGTCACGTTTTTTATCGTCAAACAGCATACTTATTTCTTAAATACTGCTGGAAAAATACTAAAATTAATTTGGTCGTAAAATCAATTAACGAAAGTGTGAAAATTCAATTTAATATTTTATTCTATTGAACAGTCGAAATAATTTATTTTTGATTAAGGAAAGTACCCAATAATAAATTCTGTGCTAAATTGAAAATCTATTAAATAAAGGTTTGGAATACCTTGATGTACCGACTTTGTCCTACTGGTCCACTGAGACATAGTACAACAATACCTACTAATGATGGTGGTATGACGGCGATACGGAACGGAGCTAAAATATAGAAGAAAATTCAGCAATTGATGTGCACTAATATTCTAAATCTGCACTGCCATTAGTTCATTAAAATTATCTAAAGGTCATAAAACTTTTTGAAGGCGACTTTAATGTAGTTAGACAAAATGTCTATTTTATGTTACATAAATGTGAAGACTCAAATAAACAGAGATAAAGACCTACTTTATTCTTAGAAGACAATTATACAGGTGTTGTTGAAGAGCGTTGTAAAAATATAAAAAGTTATTTTTCTTTCTTAACAACTATGTAACTATCGGAGGCCCAATTGCCCCCCTCCTCAATCTCCCCAAACCCCAACAGTTCTCAAATTCCTAATCCCCAGGTTGCTAACACTATTGTAACGTCTCTGGTGTTTTAAGCGTCCATGGATGACGCCGATTGCTTACCATCAGGTGATGCGTCTGCTCGTTAACCGGCTTATTCTACAAAAAAAATAAAGACTAATCTTCTACTAACTAACATTGCAATCAAAGTATATAATTTTTTAATCTGCAAAACAAAACGTTTATAAAAAGTTCATTGGAACTAACACCTGTTAAGAAGTCTCCAAGATGAAGTAGGGTGGTGAAATAAAAACTTCAGTTAAATAATTATCCAACTGATGGATTCACTTTTTACAAAAAACAAAGGTAGGTATAGCGCCGTAAATAATGTTTTGTAAATATTATGTTTAGTTATAAGTTATGATTTAATAAAAGATTTGAAAATTTATTAATCGTATCACTTAAAATCGCTCCATTGCGACGGTAATCAAATAATCGGATTCATAATATTGGTAATTGGTTTTCGATTTTGAATACACACATACGTAAACCTTAAACCTTTCTCCCACGGGCAGAAATTATGTTATTATTAGTCTTCATATATGTTACATCTTAAATCAAAACAATCATTAAAGTGGAATCACGAAAAGGAGGCGTTTTGAACAGTGAGTGACGTTGTAAATGTTTTTCCCAAGTTGTAGCACAAGTTATTTTAAAAACAAAACAAGTAAAAGTTCAATAAACTATCCAATTTCTTTTTGTTATCTTCAATAACACTAACTGCATTATCTACTCACACGAAGTTCTGTTGAAATGATTCTGCAATTGCGAGACAAACAAAAAAACATGTACCGACAAGTTATATATATCAAATTTATCATGATCTCTTTCTGTATAATCTTTCCGTACATTCAACGCTCAGTTTATACTGGTTTGCATGGCTTGATATGTAGCTGTCTATACTATACCTAATTCTACTATCCTATATTGTAATAGGTAAAACACATATTTCGTTTTAAAAAACAAGACGTAGGCTAGCATTTTATTATTATTGCGTTAAACGTGATAAATTATCTTTTTATTTATATTAATGTTAGTGGCCCGTGAAAATCTTTGCTGAATGTTTTATTGGCACAACGGGAAATGAAAACATGGAAGACATTTGATTAATATGACACAATTGTTACGTAGTTTTAATAATATAATACTTATGATTATTTTCCAGGCTCCAGCTTACTTGTCTAAGCACTTTTCACTTTGTAAATCAAGTTTTGAGAGACAGACTATACGGTTAGGATTCTATTGTTCATCGGGCACAGCACTGTTAGGTACTACCTATATAGGTATTTTCTTATGCTAAATTTGGTTGCGGAATCCAAGCCTTGAATAATTATCCATAGATTAGGATAATTTGTCATGGTGGCCCGGAAGTTTAAGACGCCCACTTCTCATGCATGACAGTGCTAGTTCGAAATCTACCAATGGCAAGTGCCAATATGACTTTTCCGAGTTATATGTACTTTCTAAGATATCTAGACGCCACTGACAAACGGTGAAGGATGTTTCGTGAGGAAACCTGGACTTATAATTTCTATTTATAAGTTTGAACTCACCAACCCGCCTTGAGCAAGCGTGGTGATTAATGCCCAAACCTTCTCCGTGCGAGAAGAGGCTTTGCTCAGTAGTGCATTTGCATTTATAGGCTGTTGATGATAGGATAAATTCCGCATGTTTCTAAGGAACTTTCCTATTGAAATTATTTGCCTACTAGAGACTGATACCTATTAAAACTAAATAATAGTGATAAAAGTCCATCTCGTAATAAAGGGTTATCGTTATCGACAACTAGAAAAATATGTACCATCTTGTCGTCATACGCAGTAATCAGGTCACGTGGGAAATAGCGTAATACTTTTAATTATCATGTCTGTTCATTTAAAAATAGGTGAAGGAAGATGGAACGCAGCATAGGCGAGTAAGTATTCGAACTGAGTTAAAAAATGTACTTATTACGGTCTAGAAGTCATTTTTTTAATGGGGGAAAATTATCGAATGACTGCTTCCGCCTTGGTGAGGCGGGAGGGAGTTTCAGACTCTTACTGACTAAAAACCACCCCGTTACTACTCCTGCACTTCGAGCCGGAGCCCCGGTAACCGAAGTCTACGATATGCAAGAGCGTCGCCTGCTATTGGCCTAGGGGGTGGCATGGCATGTAATTTTTTTTTTAACTATTAGCTGCCTGTGGTCACGCAAGTCTCCAGCACCACCCAGATTATGCAGAATGAGAAATTTTGTAATCTTTTCCGATGTTTTTTTGTCCCACACTACGATGTTCTTTTAGTACGTGGTGTCTATTCTTATTAAAATTCACTTGACTCCAGAATAGTTAATGACGGTCCAAAATAAAATAGGTAAAACTTTGCGTTTATATTGTTCTTAGAAAATACACAATTCACAACTAATTTAAAATTGCAAAATATTAGGTAGTGGTTAACACCAAAGCTGGGAGCTGGGAGACGAATGGCGTGCTAACACTATAGGGTTGCAGGCGCAGCTACGCACTTGAGAACACATATAAAATGTCAATACATTAGTGTCGCCACATTTTCCTGTATCGTGGCTGCGTTTACAAAACGAACCATTTAAGAAAAAAACCGACTTCAAAAAACCAAAAAGTAATGTGTAATGTAAAAAGTCTAAACTAAAAAGAAAAAAATAACAATCATTAGTACTGATAGGTTACCCACCCACGTAAGCGATGATGCAGTCTACGATGCAGCAGTTTGAGTGTAAGTCGTTTAGTTTTATGCCTAAGTGCTTGTACTACGGAATTGGTTGCGTTAAACCTTTTCGATTGGGTAGTATCACAGATTTCTTGACATAGTTATGGTTATATGATACCTTACACCTATGCATTGAATGCCAGATCCAAATTAATCCAGATTATAACATAACATAACATCACACCTTTTATCCCCGAAGGGCCCAGGTAGAGGTGCACCCAGAAGTAAAACCCACTTTTCACTATTTATGTTATGAGTCCCATGTAGAGGTAATAGGGGGTGAGCCTATCCATATACCGCACATTTCCAGACTCCGTGCTACTACTGAGATTTTTTTTTAAAACCCTGTAATACTTTGCCCGACCCGGGAATTGAACCCGAGACCGCTTGCCCGGCAGTCGCACTTGCGACCACTTATCCAGATCACAGATCCAGATTATACGACAATATAATATTACTATTCTTACTTCATATAAAAAAAACAACTTTTTGTGTCTTGAAACGTGCCTAGATCGGTACACTGAAATCTACTGTTTGTTAATTGTTATCAATTAGCAATTAATATACCTACAATTATTACGTTATCTCTCTTATTTTTTGTTTGTTATGTATGTATTTTTTGTATGTATATGTTCAGTAGATAGGCATATTAAAGAAGCCATGTTGTTTTTATTACTTTAGTTGCGATGACTCAGTTTTTAGGCAGGCCACGTTGCTCGACGGACTGACTGCAGATGGGCCAGGAAAGACCTTGAGTGGAAAGGAAGACGAAGCGTGGTCAGGCCTCCCGTTAGGTGGACTGACGACATCGCCAGAGTAGTGGGGAGCCAGTGAATGCAAGTGAAGAGTTGTGTCGCGGAGAACCTAACGGGTAACCGGGGCTCCGGCTCGACGTGCAGGAGAAGGAACGGGGTGGTTTTTAGTCAGTAAGAGTCTGACACTCCCTCCCGCCTAACCCAGGCGGGAGCAGTCATTCGATGATTTTCCCCCTTAAAAAAATACTGTAGCTATGTATGTAGTGGCCAGCATAATAATATCAACCTAGGTACTTCAATATACATAACAATGTTTGTCATTGGATTTTCCACTGTAGATATACCTAAACGATAGAATTGACAATCTAATAAAGAAATCTGACAGAAAAGACTAGGCTGACCTGCTGCTCACTGAACTATGCACCTTTACAAACAGTAATTAGGGATTACAATTCAAAAGGTTTAGGTTTATGAGAAAGTGCTCTGGCTCGACGTGCAGGAGAAGGAACGGGGTGGTTTTTAGTCAGTAAGAGTCTGACACTCCCTCCCGCCTCAACCAGGCGGGAGCAGTCATTAGATGATTTTCCCCCCTTAAAAAAAAAAGTGAAGAGTTGTCGTTCGGACCAAGGGGGAGGCCTTTGTCCAGCAGTGGACGTCTTTCGGCTGTTGATGATGATGCGTCAGTTTTTTTACAAATATTAGAAAACAAATCAAATCAAAACCAACAAATTCAAATAGCTTACAGTTCAATTTCACCATCAGTCTATGAGCCTTACGTTACTTTTAAACTGTCAAACACCAAGCGGTCACCGGTGACCGCAACCTATTGTTCTATAATTGTGTCTACAAAACCGGTACTCGACGAGTTAATTTTAATTTAGATGCCTTAAGAGATCTTCTAGGAATGTGTCGTAACAGGCGTTGCACTGTAGAGGCTCCGGTCTGTTAGATGACCTGGTTCCTTATCTATAGGTGTTGAGGGTGGGGCTCCGAGGCAGGTCTGTTAGAGGACCCGGTGTCCCTTACAGGTACTTACTGAGGGTGGCCACCGGAATGGTTTTAGTGAAGTAGAAATCCCACACTTCCTAGCTTCTCCACAAAAAGCCAGGCGTCTTCTGAAGGTTTCACCCCGTCATAAAATAAGGTGCCATAACAGCTGACTAAGATTTTTTTAAATACTAGAGCTACTTCCCGCGTCCCATGTGTTATTCGGTATTCCAGGCCATAATCTATCCCTGTCCAAATTTTTATCCCAATCCCTTAAGCCGTTATGACGTGATTGAGTAAAAAAATACATACAAACACCACAGACAAAACAAAATGCGAAGCACTTATATGTATATTAGTAAGGTTCATATTAATTCTCCACGGAGTCTTGGCCGTGCCCTTGTCATACACTTATTTGGACTAAAGGTACACACATGACATATAAGTAGAGGTAAGGCACTTTCTCATAAACCTGAACCTTTTCAATTGTAATCCGTAATTACTGTTTGTAAAGGTGCATAGTTCAGTGAGCAGCAGGTCAGCCTAGTCTTTCTGTCAGATTTCTTTATTAGATTGTCAATTCTATCGTTTAGGTATATCTACAGTGGAAAATCCAATGACAAACATTGTTATGTATATTGAAGTACCTAGATTGATATTATTATGCTGGCCACTACATACATAGCTACAGTATTTTTTTTAAGGGGGAAAATCATCGAATGTCTGCTCCCGCCTGGGTGAGGCGGGAGGGAGTGTCAGACTCATACTGACTAAAAACCACCCCGTTCCTTCTCCTGCATGTCGAGCCGGAGCCCCGGTAAGCCGTTTTTTTTTGCCCCATCTGTGGTGGTCTGAACATCTGATGGCTCGTTGAGGCGCGCGCTGAACGCGACGCGCCGTACGCTCGGGTCTGTTTCTGGTCGGGACGGGGAGCCACCCATGCTCGCCGTCCGCAGGCCCGCGCTTACGGTGGCCGGAGATCGCCCCGCGATCCCCGATGCCCGGTGTGTCCTTCGCGATGGCTGGGTTGCGAGGAGGCAGCGCTTCGCTGCCTCATGCGTCCCGCCTCCTCCTTAGCTAGCATGACTGCTTCGCAAAAGGAGGAGACGGCATCCCAGTCCCCCTCGCTCCGCATCATGGCCTGCACTAAGCCCGGACGCGAGAGATCGCCATCGCCGATCACTTCCCTGAGGGCACGGCGGTGCTCAGCCCACGCAGGGCATTCTCCCACCGTGTGTTCCACCGTGTTCTCAGGGCGGCCCTCGCACCGGTAACCCGTTAGGTTCTCCGCGACAGCTGCAGTACCTACTTATAGAAACTTATTTTGATGCTACGAAATTGTAGGTACCTACCTAAAATTATCTTCCAAAACTCGAGGTGAATAATATCAATATTGTTGATTATTTTTCTGTGGATTTTTGAAGTAGGTAGGTAACTGCTTAACCTACAAATAAATTATTAATATGTTAGTATATTATCAGTCAGTATTTTTTCTTAAAAAAAATATTGTTTCCCTGTTTTTTTTATTCTGTTTCTTAGCATTATACTTATTCTTCCGCTGTGCGATTATAGGTACTCTAGTCATAGCTCCACTTAGCATTGTTGTCTTTTTAAAAACAAAAGCTACTCCACATCAAATAATTCGGTATTTATCTGGTTTATGTATAAATGAGTACCTAATCCTATTGAATTTATTACACAAGTCTACCCAGGAATCAAATCTGTCACATATCGTACAGCGATATTATTGGTTCCTATTCTCCTAACACATGCAGCCAGCCACAACGCCATTTTTTTTTAAATATGAAATTAAACAAACCACGGTATAATTTCAATATAATTTAATTTGCAATCGTTAAAATTAAAACTAAACATTTAAACTAATTAATCTTACTTAGCTAAATATAAATATTTAATTGGTGGGCAATGTAACTTAAAGCACAGAATATAAAGAGATTTTAAAGCAGTATATTCACTGGTAAAAACTTAAAAAGAAATAGCAACCATACCTGCGATATTCGTAAAGCTTTAAAAAAAAAGTAAAAATAATTCGAAGTTCAAACATGACACATACGTACTGGACACAGATTAAAAATATTTCTCACGTGGCGCGTTTAGTGACTTCGATGTAACATTGTTTACTTCAATTAAAAGTAATAAGGTATGATTACAATATTATTCAGTATCCATATTTAAAATAGGCTGATTTAATGGAAAACATCTTCTGTAATCCATTGTTCTTGATTATTATTAAATTGGTAAGATCGTGGTGTAACGTGGAACCTTACCTATCCACGAACAACATAATATCTACAGTCCAACACCAATTTACATCACAATTTCATAAAATAATTTAAACCATATCATTCTAACTCGTTTTGTCGCTAAATTCATTAATTTATTAATCCATTTGTTTTAACACACTGACAACAAATCTGTTAAAGAACACGGTTTTGTACAGCATTTTTTTACTAGAGATTCTCTCTGTTCCCACTTTTTTAGGGTCACCTCCCTGGGCATTGCCGGAAAATTGACTTCTTCTGAAACAAGAAACATTAGAGTTAAGTATACATTACGTTACTCAGAGTAAAATACATATTAGATTACAACGTGGTAACTGTAATTTGGTAACATAACTATCAAAAAGTGGGTGTTCTTATGATTCGTATCTCTTTTTATTGTGTCGTAGCGAAGACGACTGGTTATCTCTTTGGAAATTCTTAATTAGGTGTTTTCTATAAATATTTCTAATCGAAGTAATAAGAGCCACTAATGCCTTCAACAATCATGGAAAAGTTACATAACATAACATCACACTTTTCACCCCGAAGGGGTAGGCAGAGGTGCACACTATGTCACTGTACCATTGTGTATGTAGGTAACACCCACTTTTCACTATTTATGTTATGAGTCCCATGTAATAGGGGTGAGCCTATTGCCATATTCCGGGCACAATTCCAGACTCCGTGCTACTACTGAGATTTTTTTTAAAACCCAGTACTTAATACTTTGCCCACCCGGGAATCGAACCAGACTTAACCCGAGACCCCTTGCCCGGCAGTCGCACTTGCAACCACTCGGCCAACGAGGCAGTCCTGGAAAAGTTATGTCAATTTAACCCTTCATAACCTGAAGTCAACAAGTTTAGTCAATGCACCATGATTCATAATATTATTAACGTGTATACGATCGTGAGACTACGTCCTAATTACATATTCCACGTAATAATTTATAAATAAAGGCGTGCGTCAATGTAACACTGCTATAACTGTTCATCATAGCAAATCTAGATCCTGTCATAGTTTTCAAGGTACCGACCTATAAACTTCAATAGATAATCCTAGATATATTTTTATTTGATACATGAGTACGTGTGCCTATTAAATGTCTTTCAGATATCCAAGTGTGCAGGTGTTCGCACTTAACTAATTATGTATTTGCTGTGTCATGACATTTATTGATTGGACTTATGCTATTTCAAATTATGATAATTTCTTAGGAAAACCTTTATTTCTATGATTAATCTTCATATTCTGTCTGTAAGCACCTTGTTCTTAGAAGTAGAACCATTGAGTTCTATTTAGGTCATGCTAATGCAGATTTTTAAGAATTATCGTAGCATTTGACGGAATCTCGTGATGATAACATAAGTATTTCGTTCCCTAATTCAATTCTGAACATAACATAACATCACGCCTTTTATCTCCGAAGTGGTAGGCAGAGGTGCACATTACGGCACTTAATGCCACTGTACCTACAATATAACACCCATACACTTTTCACTATTTATGTTGAGTCCCATGTAATAGGGGGTGAGCCTATTGCCATATACCAGGCACATTTTCAGACTCCGTGCTACTACTGAGAATTAAAAAAAACAATGATACTTTACCCGACCCGGAAATCCAACCCGAAACCCCTTGCCCGTCAGTCACTCTTACGACCACTTGGCCAACGAGGTAGGTTTATTACTATCAACGTTCGTTTCGATTTGAAAGGATGCTGCCTTGATTTTGATTTAGCAGTATAGTAAGATAGGTACCCTCAATACAAACACACTGTGAACCCTTAAAAAATTCTAGTAGTTCTAGTACCTATAAATATCAATATTATGTGACTTGCTATAAAGTTAATTACAGGTGTAATTCAATTGCACATATTGGATTATTCCATAACTTAAAGTCCAAACTACTATCGAAACACTACACTGAAACTGAACATTTTACATTTACTGTAGTGATTACTGACCACACAAAACTGGGTCCATTGCATCAATATAGCCAAGTCACATCTTTCCACATAAACAAACATTAACACCCTTATTTACATTATATAAGATAATTACTTACCGGTAGAGTAGTCGGCGTAATATACTCCGTATGTAGGGCACAAATCGTTCATCAATGTGTATGACAGTATTCTCATACATGTCGGTAATGACATGTCCATGTACGCTGACGTTAAGATGTGCGATGAGGCGAAGTGGTGACTGAACGTTATCATTAAGACCAGAAGGAAGTATTTGCCTTGCATCTTGAATTGTTACCTGTGGACAAGAGTAATTGATGTAACGAAATATTCCATTGACGTCACTGATTTTACTATGATACATACGCGTTTAGAATAAAGTAAGTCATCATTGTCTGTCGGCCTAGCCCCGCCTCCTAAACTGATTATAAACTTTTAAGTACAATTATATAAATTCATTAAACTTAATCTTTTCAAATTTAATTTGTTTTATTTTAACACCACTGTGAATACACCTTTATCTTACAGTTGCACTGATGATTCACTGCATTTTTAACGCGAACTATAACGCGACTTTTGGTACTCGAATGGGGCGGGTCTGTGTTTTTAAACCTTGTTGATAAGGGAAAATTTGTCTATTGAGTTTTTAAATTTAAACATTGTTTTGTATGTGGTAGTATGCTACTTACAATAGGATTATGTTAAACCAGGTATGATGTTAAACTATGACTGTTAAAGCAGTACTAACAGTCCATCCATTATCCATCCAAAGGTTTTCAGGAAGAGATCACAGAATGCGATATAACGGCCCATTGTATTTCCCTCTTATTGTTAAACTAGATTTGTTTTCTTGTATTGTATTATATTATATTATAAAATAAATAATTAAATAACGAGTAAACATCATGGGGAATAATAGGAATGATGTTATCAGATTTGTTTTCCTTCATTAGTTCCGGGTCGACTATTATATCAGGAAAATTTATGTTAGATTTAATCTCATAAACTATCTGGTCAGCCACGTTTAACCTCATTAGGCAGATGCCTAGTAGATACTAATATACCGAGGGCCTGACATAGACAAGGGATTTCTGTTTGATGAGAACCAAAGTCAATTCAATTCAAGATTGTTAAAAGATCCGCCGAAGGTTTAATGCATCTTGAGTTATTCTTCTCGAGTTTCGAGTTTGTGAATTTTGCGGGGTAACTCATAAGGGATCGAACTTCATATCGCTTGTTAAGGATCCGTAGAGCTAGAGAATAGAATAGACTAATAGAGATAGAACTAATTTCGGAAATGTGAGAGGAATCTATTTTCCCTCCGAGATAGTCTTTGGAGTAAGTTTAAACTTCTCTCGGTCTCATTTTCTAATATTTTTTGACTACAATATCTGCGCAGATTTGAATGTTAAAGGAATTTTAGAAAATAATTTGTTATTTTATTGTATTTGTGATCAGTGTAACGTCAAGCATATCATTGAATCAATATAAAACATCTCTTTATCCCAATAAGTATATCAGAAATTGATTCTCTCAACAATTGCTAATTAACTTGAGCAATCAGCATCGTCAGGATATAAGCATTAGCGTTATCATGGGATCTATTTATTATACGAACAAAAAAGAGCTCTCTATAAATATCAATATGATAGATTTTACATTGTGTCTTAAAGATTAGGATTCTCCAGTCAAGACCAGGGGCGTTTATTAACACATTTTATTAGAAAACAACGTATTTACGAAGAAAGATTATGATGAGGATAGAAGAGCATAACATAAACGCAGAAAAACAGGACTCACCGGTTGATATTTTCCAGGAATGTCGGGATTGCTGCAATATACACTCCGTAGATGTGCCCTCATCTAATGGTTGGAAAATAAATAGCTCCAGTCTTTTTATACTCGGCTCTGTACCGGTAAACAAGTTCCTAATAAAATTCTAGGTGCGTAAACAATTTCCTCGGCGCGAAAACTTTTAAAACTAATTATATATTTTTCACATAAAACAAACTCATTAAACTTCGAGCACAACTCGTGTTTTGTCACAGGGTGATCGCGCACAAAACTTGAATGAACACCAACTAGTACCAAAATTGAACCGTAAACATGTTGTTATAAATAACCCGAACATAGTTTATCGCTAACTATAATTTATCTTATTAAATGAATGACCTATGTACTTATGTCTCTTTAATCTGTATATGTATAAGTAAAACTCGTGTTACTTAAGGTTGTTTATTACAGTCACGGGCGCCTGCAAATTGCCAAACTCAACCCTTCTTGAAGTGACGAAAACTAATAATAAGTTCATAAATAAATTACGAAAGATTTGTTTTAATAACTTTCTCCCAGTTCCTATGTAGTTTGATTCTCATTACCATCTCATTCCCTGGAGTGATCTTGATTCTTTTCACGCATGCGATTTATTTATTACCTATATTTAGACATGTCTGCTGCTGATTACGTTTTTAACGAGTTACGTGAGTTGTTGGCGTGACGAATTATAATGATCGTAACCTCATTATTGTAACAGTGGAATGAAAAACAAATAATTCGGAACATTCCATTATTTTGCTGGAAGAAGCTAGGTATGTACCTAAATGAATTCGCTAAAAAAGGGGGAGCATTAACATTTCGATCTTGACCAGCCAGCAGACAGGCCATTTGATTAAGTTCCTATTTCCGTAACAAACAAATGCGAGCTTGTCTTGTTTTGTTCAAGAGACAATGAATTTATCTTGCTAACTGCGGAACTCCAGATACAAAACTTAATAGGTCATTTGAAACTGTATAACAATATATTTTTAGCTTTATATGTGGGCTAGTAATGTTTGCGGATGTATAGTCTTAGTGCAAGTCGTTGTCCCACTTTGGAGTATCAGAAACATTTCTTTCGGAATGTTTTGTTGATCACGATAGTGTTTTTACTCCTGTTTTACTATAGGAATTTCTCCCGTGGGTAGTGGGCGTGTTTGTAAACGTAACAGATTAAATTCGTAAAATATATAAACAGTGGTACCCTAGTTGATCATAGACACATTTACTTCGTTCTGAAATAACTGTGACTCACGACGACGACGTAGGCGGCAACGTAGTCAATTTTATATGCTACGAGTATTTCGGAGTCTGTATTAACTAATTTTATTTTGTGAGTTGTATTATATATTTTCTATTTCTGGGTGCAGCTAATGATAACCTAAAGTATAGATAAACTTAAAAAGCAACTTGAGAGGTTTTCCCTGTAAGATAAATAAATTTTATTTATTCTTTCAAATGCTAAGCTCTAGTATTACTCGCTGGTTTTTCCCTACGTTAAAAGACGATCCCTTATTATTATTTGAGAAACTTCTAGAATCAAAGGATCTTTGTATGTCTGGTGACGATAAAAATATGATTGTTTGTGACTAGCGGGCACAACAAAGTCGCAGTGAGTCTGAGATAACTCAGCACGCGCCTAAACTGTGCCCAAACATTTGGGAACGTCATTAATTATGTGACGTAAACATTCATATTCACCTTATTTGTTGTTTTGCAAGGTAATTAAGTACTTATTTTTGTATCCTCTGACAAAGATTAATAACCCAGTGTTTTGGTGAAAAAAGTGGGAAAGTAGCAAGGGATCTTTCAGTGATATCTCCTTAGAATTAACAATATAATTGTATAATAATATAACAAGAATTAATAATATAACAAGTCCCTTTATGAAGAAGGTAACTTTGACTGATTGCTGAAACAGCTGAAGATAAACGGAGCTATAATGGCGACGAAATATTCAAAGGAAATACACATTTCTGCTTCGATAAGAAAGGAACAGATGAATGATTAGAGACTTCTATAAGCTGATGATCAACTTATACATAAAGGTTTACCGCTGAATATAAAGTGTTTTCCTGACACGCCGGCAGTCGTAACAGGGACGCTACGTCTTTTATTAGACGTAGTGTAGGAAACACGCGGCCTCACAAGTGAGGTTACCGGAGGCCCAATTACCCCCTCCCTAGTCCACAATCCTCAAATTCTCAATTCCCAAAAGGCCGGTAACGCACTTGTAACGCCTTGGTGTTTCGGGTGTCCATGGGCGGCGCCGATTGCTTACCATCAGGTGATCCGTCTGCTCGTTTACCGGCTTATGCTATAAAAAAAACCCCCCTACCCGAACTGTTGACCCGAGAAGATGGCCAAGAATGGGTTGATACGGAAGGATCATTGAAGGGAATCATGAGATGTAGCGCCATGGAATTTTTGACTAGGGACCTTCAGACTATATGACTATAAGATGGATATGAGATGTTCTGGCTATCATCGGTAGGTACATACAATACACTCAATATGCCATAGCAACTAGTATTGAAAAACATCAATTCATAATTAAACTGAAATCTTAATTAGGATAATAATATTTGCGATACACAGTGTCTTGTTGTCATGGACATTGCTTGATAAAACAAACGTCTACGTATTTTGCTGACGTGTAGTCCCACAGACACCGCGAAATACAAAATCACGTGTTATACCGTCATTTTTCAAATACGAGCATCACTGCTGCGAGTACCTTACTGTATAGTGCTCGCTATACTTTAATTCTACAAAAATATTTGCTGTTGAAATGGTGTCTGGTATAATATACACCTCAGTTGAATTGTAACAATTTAACCACGTCAGTTGCAGAGGGTTAAGTGTTATTATGTTATTTGATTATACTTACTGTTTTGCTTATTTATAAGTTAAAAGCGATAAAACATTTTTGGAGTGAAACTGCATAAACTTAGTTTTGTCTGAATTACTAAGTGATTCGCAAACGTATAATGATATGATATACCGATACGAAAAATGTCGTGGTGACTCTGAGTTTAATACGCTGCTTCTCATGCATGACTGTTTTAGTTCGAAACCAAGCGTATCCTTACTAATCCTTACTATTATAAATGGGAAAGTGAGTTTGTTTGTTTGTTTGTTCCGCTTTCACGCCGTAACTACTAAACCGATTGCTTTGAATTTTTGCAGACGTAAAGTTAGAAGTCCGGATTGAATAATAGGATACTTTTTATCCCGGAAAAAGTGTGATATTCCCGAGGGGAAACAAAAGTATTGGTATACCTCTAGATGGCGCTGGTGTGTCTTGGTATGTTATTACGTCACAGGCTACTTTTTCCTTTTGTGACGCGAGCGAAGCTGCGGGTAAAAGCTAGTATAAAATATGTGAATGTGACGTTGTCCGAGTTATATACTTATTCTATTTTTTTAAGATTATTTCTAAAATTTATTTAGACACCACTGACATTCGCCTTAAGCAAACGTGATAGTTACTGCTCAAACCTCCGTGTGAGAAGGCCTTTGCTCATCAGTGGGCCACTTATAAGTAGGCTGTTAATGTTATGTGATACCGACACATGTTTTTTAAGACAACTTTCGATGCAAGCTGCATATTTGTCAATAATGTGTAACAATTTATCTTTTGAACAAAAATAGCTCGGAGCATCGGTCTCCTGTCAACGATAAGGTAAATAATATTGTATGTAGGTATCCAGATAGTAAGTACTTACCTATACATTATGTCGACAGGTCACCTATTAATATAAATAAGGTGTTTTCGTCATTGTAGATCATTACTGTACACCTGTTATATCCATAACAATTCAACCAATTTTCTCGTTGGCCGAGTGGTCGCAAGTGCGACTGCCGGGTAAGGGGTCTCCGGTTCGATTCCCGGGTCGGGCAAAGTATTACTGGGGTTTATAAAAATTCTCAGTATCAGCACGGAGTCTGAAATTGTACCCGGTATATGGCAATAGGTTCGCCCCCTATTACATGGGACTCATAACATAAATAGTGAAAAGTGGGTGTTACATTATACAGTCCTCTGCCTAACCCTTCGGGGTTAAAGGCGTGATGTTATGTTTCATGTTATGACAAAACTTATAACGGCAGGCTCAGAGAGGGATGACGACGGAATGAACTTGAAACTTACCTATCTAGGCAGGCAAGGATCGGCGGCATCAAGATTTGCGCAGAGAGGGTTGGAGTAGTGAAGGGACGGTTTTACTCTTCAGTGGGACTGTGGGACGAACACGGCGATAATTAAAAAAATAATCAAGCCCATACATTTCAAGCCTTCAACGTTAGAGCTATAGCGCCATCTAGCGATCAGTTAAACAACTTTTAATCGCTGTAAGTTATGTAAATGCACAAAGACTTAAATGTGGTTTTAATTTTATTAGACATAATATGTTATTATGATTGGGTACCCAATTAGTAGGTAGGTAAATAGTGACTGTCTGCCATGTAGTCCAGTGGTTTACCTATACCCTGGTCCAAAAATTGTATAAATATTTAATTCTTTCTCGTCATTAACTGCTTCTAGTAATACGCTCAACCCGTTATTAGACTATTAAATTTCCTGCTCCTTCCTATTAAGGAAAAATAATATGACATTGATATAGAATTAATTAATTTATCAGTGCCACGTATATCGCCTCAATATCTCAATAGCTGAAAGATATCCGGACCTAGGCTAAAAAGGCGTGTATAACTGAAACGTTGTAGTTTTTTTTTAAACGTTGCCCCACACTAGGATTTTCTCCTGTGTCGTGGGTGCGTTTACAAACATACAAGTTCACATACAAAATAACACCCAGACCCGGAACAACAATTTGTGGATCACACAAAGTGTTGCTCCGTGCGGGAATCGAACCCGCGATGCCTTGCACGGCAGCCGGTTGCCCAGCCACCGCACCAACCGTGCAGTCTAAGTAGTGGGCGTCCATTATAAAATGTCAAGGACATGGAAGTCGTAAGGCGTTACTTAAATCACAAAAATTCTGAGCACCTGACTTACTTACTTAGGTAAACTTGAAAAGTGGCTTCAGGTCCATGAACCAGGTACCTACGTAATTTAGAACTATCAGCCTAGGTTGTTCTATTCGCTCGATCAGAAACAGGCTCGAGCGTACGGTGGCCTCAAACGGCCATCAGACCACCACAGATGGGGTCCAACAGGGCTGATGCCTGAGCCTCAGAGGACTTACCGGGTTGCCGGGGCTCCGGTTCGAAGTGCAGGAGTAGGAACGAAG